TGCACCAGCTCGCGACCACAGAGTTGGAATGCTGGGCTGTATACAAAAGACGAGTGGGTGCGGACAAGGTGAAGGATAGGGGCGCCAAGGGATTTCTGTACACAGGCAAATGCAACAAATGCAGCACAAAGTACAAAGGGGCGGGGCGGGGGGGAGTTGAGGACGTCTGGTGGCAAAGCTCTAGTTCTTGGGTGCCGGAGGGGTCTCAGCGACAGGGGCACCACCAGCGTCGCTTGGAGGCCTATTTTCTGCCGCGGGGTATGGACCACGGGTGGTAGCGTCCATTGTGGCCAGGAAAAGTCGCATGCTCATATCATGCAGGGCAGCCGGGGTCCTGGCTAGCATGGGGTACTGCTGGAGCAGGTTGTTCCGGATGTTTACAAAGGCCTCCGAGTACGAGTCTGGAAGGACAAAAAAAGAAACAGTAAAAAACAAGAGAGGCACAGGGGTAGATTAAGTCAAATGCGAACAGCATCCAGCTGCTGCCGGCAGGAATGAGGGAATTGTACAGGCAGCAACAACAGCGCATAACGTATGCAGTCTGAGAAGGTTAGCAACTGGATAAGGGGGGTTACGGGGACATCACGCGGTGCAGTCACGACAGGACTGATATCTAGGAACGCGGAGCTATCAGTCAACATCAGGGCAAGATCGCGTCAATAGATGAAGAATGTACGTTAGACTGGTAGTAAGATCCACGACAAGCTGATAGTTAAAATCAGTGATCGGGGTACCAACGGGATCTCTACAAATGCACGGCTACTCCTATATGCACATCACGACAGTTAACGAGGATTGTGACAGCACAGACCATGCTTAAAAAAACGCTGTTCACGTAACCTGCTCACTTTAGAGGACCCTAGTATTCTCTTGTCCGTCCTACGACGAAATGTTATGAGAGATTAGAGGGCGTTGGGGTTGGATACCAGTGTCGCAACACTCCGTTACTGATGCTAGTATTATTGCAGTTAGTTACCCATACTGTAAGCGTTGGTAGAGTAGCATTGGCAGCCGTGGTGGCGGTGGTAGTAGTAGTAGTACTAATAGTAGGATTATTAGTAGTATTCGCCGTATCAGTGGTTGTAGACGGGGGAAAAAGTTTTCTTCAGTGTTGCGACACTGTATTCCCGCCAGTGGTAGTAGTATTAGTAGTACCAGCGGTAGTAGTGGTAGTAGTAGCAGTAGTAGTAGTAGTGGTGGTGGTAGTAGTAGTAGTATTAGTGGTAGTAGTAGTAGTAGTAGTACGCCCGTAAGACAGGCTGGTGGGGGAATAGACAATTCTAAGTGTTGCGACACTGTATTCCCGCCGGCGTTGGAAACTTTATATACAAAGGAAGCTGTCACCAGCGGCAGCGCTATACAGACTAACTGTACCATCAGAAAGTCTGCACTTAAAATCGGCTTACGACTGTGTCAGGCAACACTGCGGCCAAGAAGACGACCCACGCAGACGCGTAGATGGCATCAGAATCAGTACTGACCAATTGAATTTCTCCAGTCGCACCCATGTTTAAAGTGCAGGCACAGTTAGAAGTCAGGAGCACTGACTGCTGTGTTAAGCAACCATGAACACAACCACCACGACGAAAGAATCCGTTAGGCGGGCAGGGGGAGCAGGGTCAGTAAAAAAACAAAACCCAATGCCACAACCAGAAAAAAAGCGAGAGAATCAAAGAGAACTGTCGACGAGAAAAAAAAGGCCCACAGCCGATAGAGTAAAACGGTGGAAAGAAGTAGCTAACGTATGGGGGACAAAAGCAGGGAAGGCTCATGACCCCAGTTCGGTTGACTTATTGTGAGAAGAGTGTATAAACGCGAGAAAAAACAAAACAAAAAACGAATGAAAACCGCAAAAGCAACACGCGTGGGCGCACGCGCACTGATGTGCTGGTGCGCATGAATTACTTGACTGGTCACGAAGAGGCCGTGGTGCAATCAACCGGTACCCTATATAGATATATACATAAGTACATAGGGGAGACGTGTGCATAGATACACAAATACAGACGCAGACATAAACAGGCCAAGCAAAAAACGGGCTCAGTGGGACGTCAGAAGAACTGAAAGAAAAGACTTTATTTTGGAAAATGACAAGCTTTGACGTTGACCTAGTTAGGGGAGAGATTCTGTTTCACCCTGGAGGGCATATAAGTGAACGTCAATTCGGTGCAACCTTGAGCGTTGCCCATCGCAGTCGGCAGGTGAGCCCAGCGGGTCAGGTGGCAGAACCACATGACTTTAAAGTGTCCAAATACTAACTCCCATAACGACTCGGATTTCAGGTCAAGGCAGGTCCGTGGCTAGCTGGTGACGACAAACAGGCCAGAAACGGCCGTCGCAGCCTTCAATGCCTCTGCCGGTAGTTTTTACCGATTGGTAAGGAAGGCCTGTCTCTGCTGACACAAAAGTGTAATTCTTGGCGGTCGAGGAGGGTGAATCAAAAAGATGCTGTACAGACATAAAATACAAAAATCCATAGGGTTTTCATATACACACTGTGATAGATTACATGGGGTCGTACATTTTGGTCGGTGCTCTAACAGGTGTCCGTGGACATTTATCAAAATCAGCGTTAAGCTTCCGAAAAAATCCTATTTAGTATGAAAGAAAGTTCCAATTGTAAAAATTTACTTCAAGCTTCTTCCCTTAGCCGGCAAGTGTCAAAACATTCGAACCTTGACCTAGATCGGGGACAAAACACGAACACGAATACACCGCAAGATTATTCCCTATCAGTGAACTGGAACTAAGGTGAGGTGAAACCAGACTCCGGTTGGTTTGACAAACCTCGCATTTCGACGCACCAGTGCGGTGCGTGTTATGCGACCGCTGACTAGGCCCTCGGCAGTATTTGTCTAGCTGGTGTGAACCATCCCCGCAATACAGGTGGCCTAGCGCCAAGGCGTTTTCTTAGAAGGCACCACTGTCGCTCAACATCGGTCTACATCGATGGAAGCAGAAACAAATAACAATATACCCTTCCTCGACAAGCTCGTGCGCCGGTGTACAACTGGACAACTTCAAACCACAGTATTCCGAAAATCCACCGACACGGGACAGAACTTACACTTCAACAGCAACCATCCTCTGTCTCAAAAACGTAACTGTGTCCGCACTCTATTCCAGAGTCGAAACACACTGCAACAAGGAAGAAGATAAAAGAGCTGAAAGATTATACCTTCAGAACCCATTTGCAGCCAATGGTTATCCCAGACATTTCATCGAGAGAAGCAGACGTCGGGAGCACAGACGACGGTCAGATGAACGGCAACCCGAAGTCTGAAGAGTCATTCCCCACGTTAAGGGGGTCCCTGACTCTTGACTCTTTCAACCCACCAGAGCAGGCATAGCCCATCGAGTACAGGCAACAATTCGACGTCGTCTGATGCAACCTAAGGACCCACTGCCACCCGCCGAAACCTCAGTAGTCATCTACGAAATAAATTCCAATGAGCGCGACCGGACGGTAATTGCAGACTTGCCTACAAGAGCACAAATCGGCCACTCGGAGGTTAGACCCTAACTCTCAACGAGCAACACACGTAGGATAAACGGGGCATACTTTCGATCCCCAGAGAGCTACCATCTTAAGCGGGGGCAACACAAAGGCAGAACGGCTAACACTCGAGGCTTGGTACTCTGATATCAACTCCATCAACAAGCATATGGACCTTCCTGCAGCTTACAAAGTCCCCCCTCAACACGTCCGTAGAGCTCAGGATCAAGTAACCCCAGTGGGCTTAAGAAGGCCATACATGGACGGGCCGACGGCGAGGAAGAAGAATCACCGGAATGATCACCCGACGAAGGTTCAATCACCTCCGACGAAGCGGTGACTCACAAGGCACACAGATAAAACTCCCGCCAACCATCCCCCGAGAGGCCGAGGCAACGAGAGAAGAGGAAAATCGATCGGCATGAGACCGAACAACATGACATGCCACTTGAAATTGCTGGTCAATTGAGTGAATTTTCCGCTTTGACAATGGGGAGCCGACCAAGCTCTTCGAAACGTCAGCACATAAACAAACCGGTTCCGGTGAGCCCATCTTTTTCTTCAAATCATCAACCCCGATCTCTCAATTTTGCCAATCTGAATAATGTGCTTCTGCCGAACTATTCCAATTTTGAGGATAGCTCTAGCAAGCAGAGACAGAGACTTCCGCCAATTTGAGAACAGCCGGTCAGGTTTGTTCATGCAAAACAGGTCCGTTTCGCCACAGCAAGACCTAAACTGCTCTAGAAGAGCAAAGTAGATAAGTTTTTTTCCTCCAGCAAAACAGTCTACTTCACCCTTGAGGTCGCTATCGGTATGTCGCAGACAATACTGGGACAAGTACTGACGTCTTCGATGGGGCCCCGAACTGACGGTGCCGTTTCGCATTTCAAACATGATTTGTTAGCCGAAGAAGTGATACTACTCCACGGGAGCCAACCACAGATGGTGAACACTGGAATCACCCTCGAGTAAATGCCACCTAGAGGGCGTTTCGCGACTGTGAAGCAGGACGGCTCTAGCCCTAACCTCACACACTTGTTTATTGCTGAAGTTGGTGGTGAGACCAAAAAGGCCTTCGGTCGCCACCGTGCAGACTGGAGTTCGGCACGTAGATCGGGCGGTGACGAGGAAGTAGCAGGTAGTGGTTATCCTCACAAAGTACGACATGAGTTACCTGCAAGGTATTCGCGCAGCATGGCGTAGAGCTACTAGTGTGACAGCAGCAAGTTCACCGTCGTAGGGGACTCTCTAATTAAGAATGAGCCAGACAGAGCAGAAGGCGCGCGTCCAGGATTAGGACATTTATCGACAGTGACAACTTTCATGCAAGAACCCCAGTCTTGCGGCGCGATGAGAAGGGCAGTGTCCTGCTCATCGACAGTTCTTCTAGTCGAAAAATGGAAAAAAGTTCACTCAACCGAGCTAGCGAATAGCGATGGCTCGCCGACCGTCAGCCGGCTAAATGGCCAACATCAAAGAGCCTCGGACAAACAAGAGGCAGGCAACAGCAGAGGACACAAACTAGCTATGCGAGCGCCAAGCAAAGGCAGAACGGCGTGGAAGGGGGGAGGAAGGGATTGCATTAGGGTATTACCAGAATTGGCGGGGGTTCGGACGACTTTGAAAGGGCGTGCGCGGTAGCCTGAAGTATGTACAGTCAGTAGTTGAAAGATGAAAGAACGCAAAGAGGAAGAGTAGGTAGAAGAGAGTTCAAGGAGTACTGGGTCTCCACGTGTCGAGAAGCTCAGACGGTTCATTGGACACCCACTCATGCAGAGGGAGATCGAAGCAGTCTCGACTGACTGCAGAGCGGAGCACGTTTGCTGCGCACGAACTCCCAAAAGTTCGTCCGTCAAGCACGACGCACGTCGTCACTATCCGGGGGATTCGTGCAAACATGGTTATGTGCAGGGGGAGGGGCTTGAACTTCTGTTCCCGCACCTACTGTGTACCACTAACAACGCTAGGTAAAAGTGCTTGGAGAGGGACTTAGGCACAGTGGGTTGACTTGGAGGCCAACCCCGGCCTACTCATGTTCTTAACACGGTTGGCGGGGTTCCACACACCTTACTGGCGTCGGAGAACCACAAAAGCTACTCTCAGGTAGCTTGGCCCACAAACCAAAGACGTTCATCTAGGTGCGCCTGCCACACGCAGCAAGGCTTCATGCAACCGTAGATGTGGCTTGGGGCAAAAGGTGAAATGGTCACCTAGAGCAGCAATTGTAGTTGTCAATTTATCCAAGTGACAAGTATCTTCGTCCTTAGGCAACCTATGGGCACCTACGGACAGTTAGCGAACCGGGGAGGAAGAGGCCTGCCCGCTTGGTTAAAACACGACGGTTACACATCGCGTTTGTAGACGACTGACAGTGGAAGGGACTTCATACACTCGCCGAGAAGGAGATTCGGGTTCTCACTCGAATCCATCATCAGAGACAGAGTCGGACAGACAGTCTGGTGATGGGTTCGAGCGAGAATCCGAAATGTCAGGCTAATAAAACACTTGTTCCAGCGATCGGGTCTCCTTCTCCGCGACTACCTCCTGGAACTCGCCTGTTCGCTTCTATTAGCAAACTTTGTCCACCGACTGTTGCGAAGAAAATACATCAAGCAAAAAACCTCCCAAGGGCAAGACACTTCTTCATAATTGACTGACTGGATACTGCGTGAAGTCCTTTTCTAAAAGGCCCTCTTCTGGTGTAACACAGGCATGACCAATGCAATGGGGGCACAGCTGGGTCATTTTTCCCCCAAGTAGAGAAAGAAATAGTAACAAAAAATACCAGCGCCACTCCTGCATCTCGTCTTTGGTTAGAGCGAGGCTACCGGCCGCTCTTTCATGCATCTCCAGCAACTTTGTGCTGCGATGAGGTCATTTTCGATTGAGCGCCCAGGGATGAACATCTCATAGGCAGAAATCGATGGACACGACCCAGAAGATAATGAATTTTCGACAAAAAGGCCTGTTTTTGTGTAATGAGATGCGGTCTCAAAAGGGTGAACCACTGCGCAAATGCCTCATACACAGGCAGAAACGACAGTTCGTCACATGCGACAATTTTCACCGCGTGCCCCAGGGAGTGGGCGCTGCGCCGGTGACTTGCACGGAGAATATAGCGAACTGTCCCCTCTCTCGTCCGCTTTGCTACGATTGCAATTCACCCTCCAGACGACCGGCGGGAGGGGGGAGGTCAGGCGCAAAGGCTGACAAAGCTAAACAGCCCGCCTACGCGTGCCCCACACGAACTGGTCTCCATTACATGTACCAAGATTTTGCGAGAGCGACAGGGATCTAACGTGCATAAGTGGCATGAAGGCCACATTAATAAGGGTCCATTGCGGCCTAATCCCGCAGTCCTCTAGTCACTCTGAAGTAGCCCGCATAGGGGCCCAATTATCCTGTCAGTTGAAAGCCTTCCAAGTCACGACTCTTGGCACGTTGTAATGGAGTCCCCAGTGTCGGTCGCAGACTCTCCTCCCTCGCAAATCCACCAATTGACTGCCCGTCAGCCAACTATTCGTGCGCTGAGTCAGTAGTGCATCGTGCACAACAAAACGAGACTTTATAGACAAAAAACCAAGTTTGACAGGGAAAAGGATGGACCTGTGGGGCAAAATCACAAATTACAGTACGATATCAAGTAGCAATCTATTCCTGCAAGCGTGTCCCACAGAAACAGGACAAACTCCCATGGATGAGGACGCTTGGTTAGGATAGTGGTAGGCGCAACAATCTGAAGCAGCAGTGACACGGTTTGACCTAGAGCAACTTTCAGGTTGCTAACAATGTGGATGAGCGTGACGTAAAAGGGTCTTCTCTGGATTAACCGTTGAGGCTGTGGGGTCAGGAAGCGACTTTTTTGTCTCGAAACCTTAAAAATCTCAAAATACAGCGAAACTAGGTGTCGAAGCAGTACCAGTTGGCAACACTCAGGTGCAGGTGTAAAACCTCTATAACCTACGCCGGCACTCGTAAGGTCGTTCAAGATGTGGCGAAGATGTGAGAAGTACTGCACGGAAACGTTACTTAGCCCCGTGATCGGCGAGGTACGTGACTTTCTAACCGGCAATTTCAGGGATCACGCCTGACCTGGCCCGGCACTCAGCTTCGTCTTCTTAAGTTACCTACTTCATTAGTTTATCCCATACAGTAGACTCCCTTGTAGTGGCGACTAAGGCAAAATGTGCAATTCCAGCACTCCTCAGACGTAACACAAAGCTCGCAGGACAATAAAGCAATTGGCTGATGGTATAGGTGACTGCTACATGCGCGACAACAAGTGTCCCACGTGCTCCTATTGTGTGATCCCCTTAAGTCGCTCGCAAAATGACCTCGATCGCGAACAGGAGTGTGTATATTCGGTTAGGCCTCCGACGGTGTGTTGAGGTACCACTTCCCACAAAAAGAGGAAAACCGGTCTCGTAGACAGGCTACGGTGGAGCATGACAAGACGTCCAAGCATACTAATAGCACAGCAATAAGGTACAAAGCAGAGTATGAGAGGAACTTGTCTTAAAAAGCGGGAGGGCTGGGGGTGGGTCGAACATCTGCCTACCTGTTACTGGCTGGGGGCGTGGATGGCTGTTCTGCAGAGGAGGAAACGTCTGACGGGGGACGGCCGGTGATGGAAGCATGGGATTTGCCGAGGTCTGTGACGTTACTGTATAGGAGTTGGACGGAATGGAGGCTGGATTGAGGGACACCGGCCGGTGGACCATCCGCGAACCAACGCCAAAACCGGTGTTGGGATGCGGAGGCACTGGGAAGGACCTGATTGGGCCCAGGGAGGGGTTCATGTTGGCTACCGGCGGCGACATGAACAACCCATTGTTCGCCTGGGCCGCCAAGAGATTAGCGGCCATCATTAGCTGCTGCTGCTGTTGTTGCTGTTGTTGGTTGATAAAGAACAGTCTCTGTTGGTAGTCAAGGTAAGAGCGCCCCAACTGCTTCTCCTCCTCGTACTCACGCCAGGCATCTGCACGTTCGGAGTCAGTGAGGCCTTCGTCAATCCGGTTTTCCAACAGAGAGTCGTGATCGTGGTAGCTGTAGATGTACTCTGGCATATCGGAAAGCAGATCTG